GTAAAATCAGCGGCCACTGGCTGCAAGTCATAAAAACCCATATGAAACTACCTTTAGACAACTTCCTAAGTCATAGAACCAAATGGTGGAAATGTTAGGGATATGAGAGGACTTCCAGACTGAACACTGAAAGCACCAGGACTAGCTCTGTCCTGCCTTCTTCTCTCTTTCTCTCTCCTGGCTCTTCCTCTCTGTTTGGTTTCTGCTTGTATTTGGGCTCATTCTCTCAAGGCCCTCCAAGCAGCAAGGGACCTCTCTTCCAGCAGCTCTGGGATCCAAGGAAGAGAGCTACACCTTCCACTGCAACTTTGAAAAATCCCCAGGAAAGAAAACCAGAGGTTTCAAAAAATGAATGAGATAATCTAAGTCCCTGCTCTTGAGGAATTATAGTCATAAAAGCACAGAAACTTGAAGCCATCTCCAGTATTTCCAAAGGACTGACCACAATCCTGGCACATAATAGGAGCTCAGTAAATGGGAAATGATGATGAATGGACATTTCTCGTAAGATCATTTAGCATTTATGAAGCACTTTTGTTGCATACATTCTTGTCCATTGTGTAGATTAAAGCAAGTCTGTCCTCGGCCCTCGCCCCAACTCATATACCAAAAGTAACATGAAGGCTGAATATTTTTGACAGAAGAGCCTGTTTCTGCTGTCATATTCCACTCCCCACCCCTGCTAGCTACAGGAGTCAATGGTTAGAATACACATTAGGCCTCTCATCAAAAATCTCTTCCTACCCCACCCACCACTACCCCTGCCATCACCATCATGAAATTTTGCCACCAACTCACCTTCTACGTTATTATCCATCACGCCCTCAGGAGAGAGGCTCAGAGCTCTAGCAGACCACTTTGAGAGACCATAAAACCAACTTTGAACTATCACAGTAAAGACTGGTTTCTCTTCATAATTCTATTGAGTTCCTCTGAAGGCAAAGATTGTATGGCACATTCAGCAGCTAGAATAATAAACAACCAAGCTAACATCAGGCTCCAAACCTACACAGTGTATCTTCAGCACTGCAGCACATGACATTTTTTCCTTTTGTCTGAACCTCAATGTATTTATTTAGTTTTATAGTATGCTAATTTATTTTATTTGTTTAGCCTGTTGGTAACACTTTGAAATCTGCTTTATGCATGACGCTAAGTACCAAGGCCATATATAAGCAGCTAAATTTCCCAGCGGCACAATCAAAAGAGTAACAAGAACGTTATTTATTTGATAAATCTAGACCCTTCCATCTCAATCTCTGGAGCCCATCCCCCCAAAAAAAAAAAAAAAAAGCAAGTGGAACAAAAATCTCTACCTTTAGAGTTCTCTAAGAGATGGAGGCCAAGGGTAAAGTTATCTTGTGACTAGTAACAGAGTACATCATGGGGTGTGTGCATGTGTGTTGTGTGCATGTGTGTTGTGTGCATGTGTGTTGTGAGCATATGTGTTGTGTGTGGTATTCTACTGTTCAGCTGGAACAAAATAAATGTTCCTTGGCTAGCCCAGGCCACACTAACCTGGTGATGACAGGGGTGTGACAGTAACAACAGGGAAAGTAGGGAACAGTAAAAGAATGGGAGGCCATCACAAGATAGGGGAAAGAATGATTAGGAAAAGTTATGAGTCTGTGTTTGGTCCCATAGGATCAGAAGTAAGAGATTTTGGGGGGACTGGGCTCCAGAGATTGAGATGGAAGGGTCTAGATTTATCAAATAAATAACGTTCTTGTTACTCTTTTGATTGTGCGCTGGGGAAATTTAGCTGCTTATATATGGCCCTTGGTACTTAGCATCATGCATAAAGCAGATTTCAAAGTGTTACCAACAGGCTAAACAAATAAAATAAAATTAGCATACTATAAAACTAAATAAATACATTGAGGTTCAGACAAAAGGAAAAAAGTGTCATGTGCTGCAGTGCTGAAGATACACTGTGTAGGTTTGGAGCCTGATGTTAGCTTGTGTTGTTTATTATTCTAGCTGCTGAATGTGCCCATACAATCTTTGCCTTCAGAGGAACTCAATAGAATTATGAAGAGAAACCAGTCTTTACTGTGATAGTTCAAAGTTGGTTTTATGGTCTCTCAAAGTGGTCTGCTAAGGCTCTGAGCCTTCTCTCCTGAGGGCGTGATGGATAATAACGTAGAAGGTGAGTTGGTGGCAAAATTTCCATGATGGTGATGGCAGGGGTAGTGGTGGGTGGGGGTAGGAAGAGATTTTTGATGAGAGGCCTAATGTGTATTCTAACCATTGACTCCTGTAGCTAGCAGGGGCTCTCCCAGGGGTGGGGAGTGGAATATGACAGCAGAAACAGGCTCTTCTGTCAAAAATATTCAGCCTTCATGTTACATTTTGGTATATGAGTTGGGGGCAGGGGCCGAGGACAGACTTGCTTTAATCTACACAATGGACAAGAATGTATGCAACAAAAGTGCTTCATAAATGCTAAATGATCTCACGAGAAATGTCCATTCATCATCATTTCCCATTTACTGAGCTCCTATTATGTGCCAGGATTGTGGTCAGTCCTTTGGAAATACTGGAGATGGCTTCAAGTTTCTGTGCTTTTATGACTATAATTCCTCAAGAGCAGGGACTTAGATTATCTCATTCATTTTTTGAAACCTGTGGTTTTCTTTCCTGGGGATTTTTCAAAGTTGCAGTGGAAGGTGTAGCTCTCTTCCTTGGATCCCAGAGCTGCTGGAAGAGAGGTCCCTTGCTGCTTGGAGGGCCTTGAGAGAATGAGCCCAAATACAAGCAGAAACCAAACAAAGAGGAAGAGCCAGGAGGAGAGAAAGAGAGAGACAGAAGGCAGGACAGAGAGCTAGTCCTGGTGCTTTCAGTGTTCAGTCTGGAAGTCCTCTCTATCCCTACATTTCCACCATTTGGTTCTATGACCTTAGGAAGTTGTCTAAAGGTAGTTTCATATGGGTTTTTATGACTTGCAGCCAGTGCCCTGATTTATACAGTGTTTAACCCTGAACTCATCATCTTCCTTTCCTCAAAGAACCTCCTCCTATATGCTGGTTAATGGCACCACTCTCCACCTAATCCCTTGCATTAGTAAGCTCTGGATGCCATAGCAAATACCATAGACTGGGTGACTTAAACAACAGGAATTTCTTTCTTACAGTTCTGTGGTCTGGGAAGTCCAAGATCAAGATATTGGCCAATTTTGTTTCCTAGTGAGGGTCCTTTTCCTTTCTGGCAGGTGGCTACCCCTTCTCTGTCTCTTCACAAGGTGGAGAGAAAGAGAGAGGGAGGGAGAGGATGCAAACTCTCTGGTGTCTCTTCTTATAAGAGCACAAATTCCATCATAAGGGCCCCACCCTCATGACCTCTTCTAAATTTAATCAATTTCTGACCACCCCATCTCCAAATACCATAACATTTGGGTTTAAGGCTTCAATGTATGAAATTGGTTAGGGTCAGGGGAACACAATTCGGTTCATAGCATTCCCCCAGGTCAGAAGCCTGTGGGTCATTCTAGAATCCTTCCTTCTCATCACCCCACCCAATAGCCAATGATAATCACCAAGTCCTAATGTTGTAGCCTAAATATTCCTTGAATCCATCTTATCCCCATGTCAGTTGTCACCACATTTGTACAGGCCTTCATTGACCCTTGCCTGGGGTTTTGCAGTAGCTTTCTACCAATCTCATCCTTGTTAAATCCATCCTCCAAGTAGCAGCTAGGGTAAGCTATATCTGAAAGGCAAACCTTACTTTATCAGTCCAATGCCTAAGTTTCCCATGACCCAGTCCTACCCTTTCCAATTTCTCACTTTTCATTATACCATGCATTGATCAACAAAAGCTTATTATTTCACATGCAAACCAAGTCCAGGCTATTGTGTCAATAGCTTTGATGGCTTTTTTTTTTTTTTTTTTTTGAGACAGAGTCTCACTTTGTTGCCCAGGCTAGAGTGAGTGCCATGGCGTCAGCCTAGCTCACAGCAACCTCAAACTCCTGGGCTCAAGCAATCCTTCTGCCTCAGCCTCCCGAGTAGCTGGGACTACAGGCATGCGCCACCATGCCCGGCTAATTTTTTCTATATATATTAGTTGGCCAATTAATTTCTTTCTATTTTTAGTAGAGATGGGGTCTTGCTCTTGCGCAGGCTGGTTCGAACTCCTGACCTTGAGGATCCGCCACCGCCTCAGCCTCCCAGAGTGCTAGGATTACAGGCATGAGCCACTGCGTCCGGCCTTTTGATAGCTTTAATACCAAAGAAGAGAGGTGGTCTGTTTCCACTGACTTAGTTCTCAACATAGTCTTTAAATACTTCATTTCATACAAGACAAAGCCTAAGGTTTTTAGGTTGTTATTTAATTTATTCTCTAACTTTTCAACCTTTTCCACCCTACTAAAACCCTATAAGAATTATTGCTTCAGCCAGACTATTCTATAAATACGTAACAGCTATTTCACAGATCTGCCTACAGAGCCCTGCAATTCTTCCCTGCTCATTTGCTTATACTTACCCTAAACAGTGGTCTCCAACATTTTTGGCACCAGGGACTGGTTTCATGGAAGACAATTTTTCCACTGGCAGTGGTGGGGAGTGGGGAGGAGGGGGTGGGGGACAGGGGAGGAGGAGGAGGCAGAGCTCAGGCATGATGCCAGCAATGGGGAGCATCTGTAAATACAGATGCATGCTTCGCTTGCTCACCTGCCACTCACCTCCTCCTGCGTGGCCCCCTGGTTCCTCAGTTTCATGGAAGACATTTTTACCATGGTCCATGGCCTGGGGCTTGGGGACCGCAGCCCTAAGGCATTCCAAACCACACTGATTTCTTGTTCTTCCAGCCTCAGCCTCTAAGTTCTTAGTATTTACCCTAGTCTTTTTTTTTTTTTTTTGTCACTTACTACATATTGCTTTATATTGATGTTTGACTCTTCATGCATATGTCTTACCTCTGCCACAGTTTCCAAGCTCTGTGAGGGCAAGGACAATGCCTTAAGCCACTGAGTGTGCTGAGCATGCTGTCTTGTGTACAGCGGGTAGTCAGACATTTGTAGATTTTCTTCTATTGGATCCATTCTCTTCCCTTAGATCATGGTAGCCCCAAATTTGGGTGAATTTTTAATAGAAGAAGACAAGGCCAGTACATTTTTAACTTCCAAATGTAAAAGTTATGCAAGGTCAAATTCCTCAGTTCCTATAAAGGGGATAATCACTTTTGCGAGGTGCCTAGCAACAGTCTTAAGTTCTCTTGAGCAAGTCCCAGGAGCCTAAGTTTTGTGTCAATGAAAATCATAATTACTGAGGACAATTACAATGCTGTGGAAATTGTGAATATTACAATTTATGCATCTGTAAAATTGCCATTTCAAGGCTCATGAAAGATATAAGCTCAAGACAAAGGAGAACATGAAAACCTTGGAACCAGATTTCTAGTCACAGTAAAGAAGTTATTTTAAGATAGTCTGAGATTATAATTTTTAATTCTCTTTACACATATGCCTATTTATTTCTGGGCATTTCACCTTACATTAGAGTTTATGAACATAGAAACTCTTCTGGCATGTTTGTCTATTTTATTTTTCTCTTAAGACTCTTATCTGTTTTCATGGCTTTATTATGATGTTGATGAGAATTTTAGTTAACACCTTGATTATCTTGATATATAAGACATTTTTCTTCTGAAGATCTTAACCATAGGTTACATTTCATTTGTCCTCTGCTAGTATTCTTTTCATTGTGAGGTACAAAATACTTGGCTTATGCAAAAAGGGAATTTATTGGCTCATTTAAGCTAAAAGTGTAGGGCTAGGCAAGCTTCAGGTACAGCTAGAGTTAGAGCTTAAAATATTTCATAAATATTTTGTTTTTCACTATCTTTCTCTTCTGCCTTTTAAGTGTTGCCTTTAGTCCTGGGCTTCATGTGGTAGGTAGAGGGTAGTATCAGCTCCAATTCCTGTATCTCTTTAAATTTCAAGACAATGAAGAGTGATAGAAGTCTGTCATTGCATTTCATTGGCTCTCAGTGGTTATGTGCCCACCTCTAAACCAATTATCGTGGCCATGACTTACTTAAAACTGGTAATGAGGCAGGGTAGGTACCCTCTAACCTCAGGGTACAAGCTGTTCCATCAGAACTTCATGGACTGATAGGGTGGGTGAACTGATTTTGATCTTCCAGACATCCACTTCCTGGACTCCCAGGAGCAATCAACTTTGCTGATCACAACCTTTAAAAATAACACATTTCTTTGTTTTTCATAGGGCTCATTGTCCCTTTTTTATGTGGTCATTATCTCCTTTCTTTGGTCATTAAATGTTCTAATCTTTAAAGGTTAGGTCCTAGGCACTCTTCTAACTGAATTCCCTTCTAGGTGACTTCATTCCTACCCAAGGCTTTGATGACCACCTAAAACCCAAGGACTTGAAATTTCCTCTGCAACCCAGAGGAAACTCTGCACTCTATAGCTCTGTCTCCAACTGCCCATTTGACTTATCTACTTAGTTTTTCTCTCTCTCTCTCTTTTCTTAGAAACAAGATCTCACTCTGTTGCCCATGCTGGAGAGATGTGGCATGATCATAGTTCACTGTATACTTGGTTCTCTTAAAGTCACTTCAAACTCAACATGTTTAAAACCATATCCCCTGACCCCCAACAAACCGGTGTTTCTCATTGCAGTGAATCGTACCACTAACAATATAGTTCAGCAAGTGAGAAATCTAAGCCTCATCTTTAACATGTCCCTCAGCCTCACTCCCCATTGCTTAGCTGATCTGTCACCAAGTCCTACAAACTTTACTTCCTCAATAGCTCTCAAATCCTCCCAGTTCTCTCCATCTTTACAGCCACCTCCTTAGTCCAAGCCATTATCTTCAATCATCTAATTTCTACACAACCTCTCAGCTCATCTTCAATGACTTTCCTCCTTCTTCCAATCTGTTTTTCATTTTGTAGTTAGGGGAACCTTTTTTCAAAATGCAAATCCAATGACTTTCCAATAATCTTAAGATATAGAACAAAATCCCCACCATGGTCTGCAAAACTTTGCAGCTAGGCCTCCTTCCTACCCCTTTAACAGTGTAACTCTCTACACTACCCTTGCCCCTTGAATTCCACCACAGTGACCTTAGTCCATTTCTTGCCACACTATGGTAGACAGAGCAATGCACCCCAGACAGATG